CACACGCGCCCAAGCTGTCTTGTGGGCCAATGGTGAGAGGCTGCCTCTCACTTTACCACCTTCCTCCAGCTCTTTTGTCTCGCTCGCTGCCTCATACTCCCGAGGAAAGCTTTCGCTATTTGCCCAGGGCGGAGAAGCTATCACTACACTAGTGGAAATCTAGTGGGAACCTGAGTGGCAGGACAAACTGGGCCTGTTGTCCCACTGTCCACTGTCCTGTTTTTCCCATTATCATCAGTATGTGACAGAGAACCTATAGCAACCTGTTCATATCAAGTCTGTGACAGCAGAGATCATCGGTTAGGGGTACTTACTATTCCCCCAGTCATCTAAGGCTAACAGATAACAGCAATAAGAAAAAACGCTCACGGGGGCCTGCAAATGGGGCTCAGTGGCAGAGTACTTGCATAGGATGCCCAAGACCCCGGATCTGGTTCCCAGTACAAAAATAATGAGGAAGGAAGGGAAGGAGGGAAGGAGGAAGGAAGGAAGGACTCAGTAGGGACAGCTTTAAAAATATCTGTGATGTACCAGGTTCAACTACTCCAGCAAACACTGGAATGCATCTAAATCTTGATGCCATAATCCATGTCTCATGAACAAAGACTCAGAAGGGCCAGACGGCCCTCACAGGGCCAATGCTACCCCTTCCAGCTCAGCTGCAGTCAAGCAAGGGGTATTGCTGGCAAGACGTCCACCCCCTGCCCCTAAGCTATCTGCTGGACCCCAGCCCCAGGAACAAAAGCTCTATAAAAAAGACCTCTGCTTTCACTCAGACACATTAAAGAATTAATTATAAAGTAAAGCTGAAGGAGAAAATTAATTTTAGAAACACAAGAGGTTACTTTTTTTCCTAGAGATGGGGGAGGAAACAGTTATTTTCGTTTTCATCCTGGGGCACAAGCTGGGAGCTGTCCAGTCGATAACCTGGCCATCAGAACAAGGTTTGTAATTAAAAGGTCAGTGACCTGGAAAGCCAGGCCCACTCCCAGAGCTTCTCAGTAATGACGGAGCTATTAAATTAAGACTGTTATGAAATCAATGCTAAAAAAGCTTTCATGGTAACGAGATTCCATTCAAGGACATGCAAACTACCTCATGAAATGGACGTAAATGATAAAAAAGAAAAGTAATAAAAGAGAGTTAAATTGAAATCTGTGCAAGAATTTACTCCCCCTCGAAGGACTCCAGTGAGAGGGACCCTTCACCTCTACCCCACCACCAAGGTTGAGCCCACCACAAGGAGCCTTCCACAAGGAGGTGGCTTCCAGAAACAGAAGAGGGCACTCTGTCCCCTGTCTGGGAGAAGAAAGTCAGGGGCAGGGGAGGAAGAAGCCCTTGGCTTACACACTTGAGAAGATGCCACCCTCCCAATCCCAGTCAGAGAGCTACATGGGGGCAGTCAGCTAACAGCTCCATCCCTTCCTCCACCTCATCTTCCTTCAGCCTCACAGGCACAGGCATCTCATTTGTCCAACCTGTTCTCAGCCTGCAGAGCATGCTGGGAAGTGGCTTGCCTCCCATCCTACACTTTGTGGTATCAAATCAACAAGCAGTCTTGGACAATTGTTCTCCAAGTCTCTAACTCTCTGGAAGGCTGCGACTGCTGTTTCTAGGCTACTCTGCCCCCTGGGCTGCAGCCTGCTGAGAGGCAGCTACTGCCTGCTTGGCAGGAAAAGCGTCTATATATAAACCAGCTCTGTAAGGGCTCAAACCCACATAATGCACTACTGGTATGTGCGCCTGACTCTACCACGGCTGTGTCATCTGCAGAGTCAAGAAGTTGGGCCCAATACAAAAACATCCATTCTAATATTCTGAAGGTAAACAGCTGTGTTTCTCTTTCATCCCCCCCCAAAATATCCTGATAATAGGAAGAATTGCTGTAAATTACATAAAATGGCAATACAAACTTCAAAGAAAATGATAAATGATTCTAATAACTTCATGTTTCTCATTAATGACTCTATATTCCGACTCTAAAGCATCTAAAGGAGACGACAAAACAAACAACAACTAACCAAAGAAGACAGACCCTTGCAGACCGGCCTCTCCCACTTCAGCCCACTCCCCAACCCCCAACAGAGAGCCCAACACTTAACCGGTCAGCAACATAGGCACACTGTGGCCCCTGGTCAGGGCTGTGGATTCACAATAAAACAAACTCAGCGGATACGCCTAAAGGAACCCTCATTTCCCACTGATCTGACATGTACTACAGGGACCTTAATTTCTATATTAAATATTAAATAATATTAAAAGATAAACAAAATTGGATTTGCTTCTTCAGGAAAGAGATGTTTATTAAGAAAAAAAGTCAGATTATAATTCAAGTCCTATAACAATTTTCTGGAGTGGCATTGCTAGGAAAAGCCAAGGCTACAGTAGCTGAGAGCTCTCCTGAAGCCAGCACCCCAAGCCCCCCACTGCCTCTAAGGAAGGCCTATAGCAAGGTGCCAAGGCCGCAATCCCTCCCCTCCCCTCCCCTCCAGCAAGCCAACCCTCTTCCTTCCCCACCATGAGGGACAGGGTAGATGCTCCTTGCCTGTCCTCATCATGAACATTGCCAAGCATGCTGGTTGTATAAGTCTGACCCAAGGAATAATCGGGAATTTAAAAAGTGAAATTTAAATACACAGAGGAGATTTTCTTCCCCAGATACCTATCAAACCTTTGAATTCTTTGCCCAGAAAAGGTCCTGCCAGAACTTACCCTATTGGGATTCACCTGGGATTCGGATAATTACCAAGTGAAGGAAGGAGCATTTTAGAGAATAATGGAGATGGGAGATTAGCCTCTGAGGGTAAACCAGTGTGGTTCTCTTCAGAACAGGAAGGGGTGGGTAGTCTCCTTGGGTTCCAAACACCCAAGTTTCTGAAGACTAACCTGAGTCTGGAGTCCACGCTGCCACCAACACTCAGGTCTTTCACAGCCCTGTGCACACATCCACCCTCAGAGACATCTGACAGCCTTTAAAATCACACCTCTCCTCCAGCCCTGGTGCTGCTCATCTCCACTTCCCTGTTTTACTTCCTCCCAGGCACTTGCCACCTGACATACCATGTACTTTTCTCTGACATTCATTCATGTCTGTCCCCACCACGTTAGAACAGAAGTTCTGTAAAGACAGGGGTTTGTCTTTTCTGTTCTCCATGAATTCCCAGGGGAAAGATCAGGGTATGACATAGAGTGAATGTTCACTCTTGGGTGAACTGATTAATCAATCAGCTGGATGGTTCCTCCCTCCCTCCCTTCCTTCCTTCCTCCCTTCCTTCCTTCCTCCCTTCCTTCCTTCCTCCCTTCCTTCTTTGTTTCTTTCTTTCTTCTTTCTTTCCTTTTCTCTTTTTTCTTTTTTGTAAAGAACAACAAATAATAATTGCATAAATCAGCTCCCCCTCCATGGTGGTTATGAGCCAAGTGACTCAAAAGAAGTATTATTTGGTCCAGAGTTTCTCCCTCTCGCTCTCGTTCTCTCCCTCTCCCAGTCAGGGATTTATTAAAATTAAACAGATTAGATGGAGCTCCTGATACTAAAACTGCTCAGCAAAGCCTGCGGTGGGGAAGTGCCGAGCAAACAGCAGAGACATTTGTCTCTAAATTGCTCTAAATACCTTCTGCAAATGAAATTCTAACCCAGCTGCGTTTGAGAGAAAATGAGGACTAACTGGTCATTGTCGGTGGAGGAGAAGATCAGACAGTTATAATACTGCACAATGTACTGGGCTAAGGATCTCTCGGCAACCATAGATTTTGTCTCAGGTTACCCCGGGTAATCAGCTCAGCTTTTAGGCTCAGCTTTCCCCTGCTCAATGCTTTGATGAGAGAGCTGAAATCCCCAAGCTTTTATGATTAATTACTCCCTATAGGTACACATATTTCAAGGAAAATCTCTTTTATGGCATGATGCTTGTGGAGTGGAGAGGCCAGCCAACACACTCCAAATTTTAATAATCTCCTAATGATGGGGTTGGTACCACGCAGCCAGAAAGCATGCAACTCCTTCATGAGGACCCTGCCTTGAGTCTGCTGCTGTGGGTGAAATGTTTGGACCTGCTGTGCCCAAATCCTGTGAGTGGGGCCCTGTCAGTGGGTAGAGCACTGTTTTGGTCCCAGAGCAGCAAGTGCTTCAGTGGGTTACCATAGGTGTGCTTAGAAATGCCTTGAAAACATTCCATCATCCAATCCAATTTAAAAAAAAAAAAAAAAAAGACAGAATCACCAGAATTTTGAGGCCAATATTCTAGCTTTTAAAGAAAAACTAGTTTGGGGTAAAGTTCCCCCCCCCCACCCGTTATGTAAAGCTCTTTAAGTAGCTTCTAGATCTCTAGAAAAGTAGGAGTGAATGAAAAGTCTGCCTTCATTTTTTGGTTAGATGGTTGTTTTTGCTTAAAACAAAAATATCCTGAATTTCAATAGGACGAGAATAGGTTCTATCTGCTTTAACAATACAGAACTTGTCGGGATCCATTTTATCCCAGCCTACAGAAATATCATAAAAATCATGAATCTACCACTTCAATCTGGAAATCAGATTGACCCGACCGAGATTGACCTCACCTCACCTCGACTGTGTCTTTTCTGTCTTTTCCCTGTCTTTTGCTTCTCTATGCTTCCTTACTGAAGCAGCTGTGCTCTCCTAGCCCAAGAAGGTCAATTCTGTAGTCAGGTCACTAGCAGACTGACCAGGAAGCAGGGGCCCTCCAGGCTTGATCAATGGCCAGTTCTGCTACTGAGCGCTGACTGTGTCATGATGTTCTTGGTCTCCTATCAGCTGCTTACTTCTTCAAATCCTGTAATTTCTCTGCTCCACTGTGAGTAAAGAAATGTGCGCTCCTCTGAGGGGTGGTCACCTCACCCCTGTGTCCCACCCGCACATGTCGACAGCTGAGGGCAACCCTTGGTGTGTTCACCACCTGTCTCTAGCTATGATTTGCACCTGCCCCATCCCCAGCCCCTATGTATAGGCCACTGCCACTCTACACTGCCAAGGAAACCTGTACCTTTCTTCTTAAGAAATGCTCTCCTGGTTGCAAGTGGGCTCTGCCGGACCCGAGAATTCTGTAGGAACTTCACTGCTGTGGCAATCTGGTGGGGGAATAAAACAGAAAGAGTAAACTTCAGTAATCTGAATTTCAAGGCCAGAAATCTTGAGTTCCCAGGGCCACAGACAGAAGGATACTGCTGGGATCAAATATATAACAAACTACTTCTTCAACTACAGACCCACCTAAATAGAAGACAAGGTGTCTCCTGTCTTCACTGCCCTCCGGTTTCCTGTTTCTGAGAGGAACAAACCGCACCTTCTTGGTTTAGCTTTTTGGACATGCACTGAACTTTTCCTGCCTTCCGGATTCAAGCTGCTGCTTCAGCCACACTCAGTTACTATCCTTTGCCATTCACACCTTCGTTCTGGGAAGGCTTCCCTTTGCCATCTCTACCTGTCTACACATTACACACCACACCACTGTGAGAGAGCACATGCGTTCTCTCTCTCTCTCTCTCTCTCTCTCTCTCTCTCACACACACACACACACACACACTGGAGAGAGACCCTTACATGGCCTGTTCTGACTCTCAGTACTGTAGTGTGTACCATGTAATTGAAGACATGATTAGAATGTCCTCTCATGTTCAGGCTGACTCCCAATACACTGTAAGGAATGGCAGGGAAGAGATGACGCTCCCTATCTACTACCTGGCAAAGTACTGGAGCCAAAGGGGTTTGTAAAGAAGACACACACGGCTGGCCACACTGGTCCCTCCAATGTGGTGAAGCTGAATTCGGATATTGGCATGAGCCTTCAAAAGGCAAAGTTTGGGATTTCCTGGCTATAAGCCTACAAATTGACAGGATATCTCCCTGCCTCTGGTATGGATATTACTTATTAAATCTTCATATATACAAGTAAGAAGGGGGTAGGAGAGGCATCAACCCCTACACTCAGCACATGTAAGGCATGTGTTTCTACCGCCTGACTGCTATCCATAGCAAACACGGTCCCACAGGGCAGGGATTGCCAAGCTGCTCTAGTAGGACGGGGGCTACTTAGAATGGCTGGCACTATTCACCTCATCAAAAGCAAAAGAAAAGCATGGTCTCCTGTCAAGATAAGGCCAGTGCAGTTCACTTGGGGGGCAGGCGTAAGGGCATTTGTGTGATCCTAGACTAAGGGTTACTCTGAGCCAAGACTCAGACAGCAAGCGCTGTGCCTGTGAGCAGGGTTCAGGTTGCACATCACATTCTGAGACCAGTGTTCCCAGGGGCAAAAGAAATGAAGGCAGATCGGAAAGAAAGAGGAGAAGAGAAGGAAAGCCAGGGAAAGGCTGACCCTGGGTTTCTCCTTTTAAGGCCAGGCTCAGCACCCTGACCCTCCAGAGCTAGACCTGTCACTCCAGAGACACTACTGATCTCAAGAGCTAAGCCCAGCTCCCTAAGGGTGATGATCCCTCCAACCCTGCAAACTACAGGACAGCCACAGTTCTAAGCTACAGAAAATTCAGTGTGAGAGCTTGTAGAACCCCCAAAACTGATATTTACCTCTCAAGCAGATCACCTAAGGTTACACTGGGAGGAAAAAAATCTAACAAACCTCTACAATATTATGGTGCAGAGACTGGGGAGGGAGGGTAGAGAGAGGAAGGACAGAAAGGAGACACAAGAGAAAAGGGAGGGGCGGTGGAAAGAGAGGAAGAGAAAGAAAAGTTGGTGTTGGGGGGGGAAGTGGGGGGGAGGTGGGGGCAGTGCTATGTCCAGAGAGAGAAGGGAGAGGTACACATCACAGGCCCTCTGGGGCCAACACCAATCCGTACTGCACAGATGACTCAGGTATAATGGTCTTCACCTGAGAAAATCATACCCCTTCTACATGCTGGAAAATGACAGCCTCTGTGCTGTGCTGTGTGGACCAGGTGTCACAGGAAATGTGGACAGACAGGTCTTGGGCAGGAACCACACGGTTCCTATCATTCACCCACACAAAGATAAAGCCTTCCTGCATCCTTCCAAAATTCCCCATGACAGAGAAAGAAGGCAGAGCCTCACCACTAAAACGCCCAGGTTTCACCTTGCTCTTTTAATACAGTCCTTGGTATATGCATTTCTGGTCAGAGAGCAAAGTTCTGATGGGTTTAATGGTGCACTCAATGCAGTGCTTGGCGCATTCCATCAATTTTTTTTTTAAAAATTGCATCTCTTATTTCTTTAAATACATTAATCAGCCTAGTGTAGGCAAAACGGATCCATCGGACAATGCAATAAACATGAATTATCATCTATCCAACACGCATAATGGCTTAAAAATACATAATAGCAGGTGTAGTTTAAATGATTAGTTATTACACCTGTGGTGGGTCTGATTCAATTGGGAAAAATCATCTTTAATAGGTTAAAAGGTTTAGATCACCATGCTTTCCTTAAAGTGGCTGCAGAGAGGGAATGATGGAGTGCTCTGTCATTAGTAATTCATTTAAGAAAAACGTGGGGGATATAGCAAAGAACAGCATAAACGAGCGAATCCAATTTAAACATCAGGTAAAGTAGAAAACACCTTTTAAAAAAGCAAGATAAATGAATTTGGAAGGGAGATGAAATTGACGTATTTATTTTAACGGGAATTTGACAAAGTCCCGGCACACTTCAAACTTGCAAAAATATGAACAATTTCTTTTAAAGTTTCCACTCACTAATTTCAAGTCATATAAAATAATACTGCCAAACACCTACATAAAGTGTTTTTGAGGCTTGTTTATGTTCCCCTTGATCTTTGTCTGAAAATGCAGGCGACAGGCAAATCACATATTTAACAGCATCGATATCACTACGCTAGATGCAAAAATATAAAGCACCCAAACTAATAGCCTCAACATAATGTGCTGAATAAGAAAGATACCCAGATAGCAGCTACGTGCAAGCGTGAACACACGAAAACCTCTCTCCTCCTCTCACTAAGTATTTCTCCAGCCACTCTTCACTCCTCTCCTCCCTCCCCACAGGACACCAGCACGCTGAGGAGGGTAAAAGGCTCGTCCAATCTAGAAGTTTATAGCCTTATGATTCATTCATTGATGGTGAAAGATTTCCCAAAACTCCTTACCCATAATGCAAAGATCTTTGCCCACTAAGGTGCTCAGTTTGGGCCTTTCGCCAGCCCATTGTTGGACCCTTTTCATTAACTTCATGAAACAATTCAACTGACTTCTCCCTCTGCAAAGGTCCCACGCAGTATGCTTTTGTTGGGTTCAACGATGGGATGCCTGCAGCCTATCCTGTATTATCATTTGATTTTCCAATTAGAAGATGAATGTGACTATTCATGGGTTATATTAACGCCCAACTAAATTACATAAATTCAGGCCAAATCTTCCGCCTCAGTGTCAAAGATGTAAAATGGAGGCGGGAACTTTACTGCACTCGTTGTAGGGGCACAGCGAGCCATGAAGAATTCTGGCACAAATCTCCTGAAACCATTGTTGAGCCACTTGCTGTGGAGCCCACTCCTCACCTTAGACCAACTGAGTTCTTAAAGAACGTACCCAAACTGGCAGTAGCTAGTTCAATTTTAAACGTAAGCATGAACTCAGAAAAAAAGTGAGAACCAAAGTTTTTCATTTCCCCCAGTTGTCCCAACAAGCAAAACCGAATAACTCTGCCAACCACAGACATTTTAGGGAAGTTTGTAATTTCACTGTTTGTCCCTTCAAAGCTACAGGATAAATACATACATACATACATACATACATACATACATACAAAAATTGAAGACTAAATTCTCTTCTCTGCAGTCTTATAACAGTGGTTACATTGGAGTCCCTGACAATGACTTGGGGAGGAAGTGGGGGGAAGGCTTCAGAGTGTAAAATACCTTTGGATTCAGGGTAACTGAGCAAGGTCTGCAGCTTCACAGAGAGTGGAACCCAGCATAGTGAGTGCGTTCATGGTGATCTGCTGCTGGGTGCTAAGCACAGTGTGGGGTAAGAAGCCTGCCAGGCAGAATAGAATCCAGGGTCCTGATAGTCTTCACGGGAGAGACACTCTCAAAGTGTTTGCCATTCTCCTACAAAAGACCTGCACACTGTATCTTCACCCTATTTTCTGCTCCAGGGGGATGGGGGAACACAGCCTGCCTAGTAACAACCCTGGGGTCTCAGGGAGTCTTAGGCACTCTGTACCTGACCTGTAAGCCTGGTGCCCTGTCTCTGGTGACACTTATCTGGAGTGCCACCAATTCCAGCATTCCTGTATACAATGTACACATCTATCTCCTAAAATGTGAGCATTCATCAGTCAGTTTAAAATATTAAAAATATTCAAAAATTAATGACCTTAACAACAAAAGCCAGGTCCTTTTTAATCAAGGGAGATGGACCTAGAGGGCGAGGAAGTGACCAGCACGGACCCTGAAACCCCACTCCAGTGCCATGGCTCCCGCACTGCTCACCAGATTAAATTGCCCGTGAAAGGCTCCCCACCACAGCGCTAACGAAGACACCCAGAGCCCTGTTAGCAGGCACTAGACCTAAGCCAGCTTGAGTCTTAACAAGGGCTGACTTTAAAAGCCAGGCAGTGCTGAGGAGACAGCCGGCGTGTGAAGTGGGAACCCTGCATTTTAGTAAGAAATCAGTACTCTGTCAGGACTTCCTTGACAAATACGGTCATCGGTGGCACAAGGAAATAGTTGCAAAGCAGCTGTTAATCAGAGAAACACATCGTAGAACGCTGATGCTAGCACTCATGAAAAAATGCAACGGGCTAATTATGAAGCCATATATCTCACTAAAGAGGCTGTGTGCCTTGAGATTCCAGGCAGAGCACACTCAGATCCAGGGTCCTAGGACAACATAATTCTGGTCTTCTGCACCCAGATTCCTCTCTGATCTACAGTGCAGTGTCAAGATCTCTGTTCTTTCTCAATTCTGCATCTCTTTCTAGGTAGGACACAGGCTGGGGAGAGAAGGAAGCAAGCAGGGGCAACCACAAGCCACATTCCAAGACAGTGCAGGAACACATCCAAAGGGTGACAGACAGTCGAAGCAGAGGAAAAGTCTATACACCTGGGGGGGGGGGGGAACCAACAACAAAACAGTTG